ACGGCTGTATTTGATCGCATGCAGTTACAAAACTATACAAGATATCTTTGTTGCGTTTTCACAAACTGTACATTGAAAGAAGAAGCTCAAAGATGGAACACTGTGTATATATTGATAACCCTGCTTTCATTCGTGAGCGTTGAAACAAAACTGTGTAAAATTGCCGTGGTATGTAACTCCGCGCGTGGAGTGAGCGCAGGTAGACTGACCGGCAGCTGACCCCGGTCACGCTGACCTAGCGGCGTACGGCCTGGCGAAACTAAACGACCGCTGATTCGGCGCTGTACCATGATGTCTCAGATTGACATAAAATATGCTTACTTCAGTCCATTTGACTGTCACGGTAGTATTATGCGATTGTGCAACATTTGCATAATTTTTGATTCCCCGCGTTTTTCCCGGGTTTTTTTTTCATTTTTCACAAAACAATTAATTAACGCCTCGCCTTGTGACTAAAGGGGAGTAATCAACGTAATAAGTCTCATTTAAGTGAAAAGCCCTTGTTAGAAGATCGTGATTAATTGTTATGGGTAAGGTCTTTTGTTCCTTGAGCATATTCTACAGTGGAAACCATCAGGCCCGGTAATAACAGGGATCCGGTAATAATAGGGATGTTTAAAATCCCCGTTTTTTCCTACTCTTTGTCTCTATTAAAAGTTATCAGCAATAACAGGGCCTCATCGGAGCCCAACCGGTTATAGCAGGGACAAAGGCTCGTTCACAATGTGTTAAAAGTAAGAGAGAGAGGAGAGAGGACGACCGGTCGGCCTAGATCTAAGCCTACTTCTTTCATTATGGTCACCAACGATGTCAAGCGCAAGAGAAAATGCCTTTCAATTGACAAAAAATACGAAATAATCCAGACTGTTGACAAAAAGTAAGCTCCACTGGCAGAGATTTGTTGTCAGTTCGACATTCCAAAAGGGTCGATTCCAACCATTATCAAGGATAGAGAGAAGATAGTGGCAGCATACTCCAAAGGAAAGTTTGCTCTGGATCGAAAGAAGATGAGACTACCCAATGCAGATGCTGTGGACCAAGCTCTTCTGATGTGGTTTAAGGAGGCAAGGAGAAAGTTGGTGCCAAAACCTCTGTTCGTGGGTACTTGGGGCAAGGGAAACTACCCACGAATAAGTACAGCTAGATTAGTCCACACATTCTTACTTTCCTTGCATTTCGGATTTAACAGGGATCGGATATAACAGGACTTTTTCTCTACTCCCACCATCCCTGTTATATCAGGTTTCCACTGTATTTTTCAATCCATCAAACGTTATTCTCATGTCTGCTGATATTTCATGTTTGCCAGGTGTCTCTGGTTTTAGTTAGTGATGTGCCAGCATCAGAGGTCCAGATGTCCCTTTTTTTTTTCCCCTTTCCTCTATAGATCTACAGCTGAAAGTTACAGAAAGAGATTATATATATTTTTTTTTCTGACTGATGTGTATTGTTTTCTTTCCAAAAACTCAAATTACTCATACTGATATGTTCTGTTTTCAGTTTTTCTGTACATAAAACATGAAAATTCTTGTTGAAAAAATGCAAAACATGTCGCGAAAGGTGTTACGGTAACTTGCATTATAATTTTTTTTTTTATAATTTTGCATTTTTCATGCATAATTTGGCCATCTAAATTTGCATAATTCTACGGGGACAGATTTGAATTTTCTGACCCGACTTAATCGTGGTGTAGTTTGTCATTGTGTCCTTGGAAAAGACTGTTTACGCTAAATTCCTATTTGGTCCATAATCCTTTCAGAGATAGACGTTATACTCAGAGATCCTGCCTCTTAAATATAACCTACTAGTTTTGATAGGAGCGTTAAACATATACCATATTTCTCCTTTTTTTTAAATACTGAAGACGTAGTCAGACATTCTTACTTTTTAGTTCTGCTTCCTTATTCTTATAAAACATTTTTATTGTGTTGTTTTGCACAATAAAATCATAGATCTAGCTTTCCATGAGAATCATGTTTTTACTTGCTTTTGCGTGATCATTAAATTTTGTATGCATGTTTCTCTGAATGTCCCGCCTCATAAAAGAACTGATGCTGCTATACATACAAAATATAATATTATAATATTGCGGGTTTGTCAGCGAGACCCAGCCCCCACTTGTACAGTAACCTCCCTCGTTGTGGAGATTAGGTCAGCTGGCACTAAAAGTGATACCGACTGAAACAGCCGTATTATGCAGGTGATGCAGTATAGTGGCGAATCTTTGATAGAATTGTCTTTCTGTTCTTGGGGCGCCATCAAAAAATAGAAAGCATGGGGATTCATTCTTTGCAGTCTCAATGAAAGCGGGGCGTATCTATTCCGAGTAACGCCCCTTACCCCAAATCACGATCCAGATTCCGCTTGGCGCAAGCAGATTATAATTAATTATAAATTATAGAAGGTTCTAAGGCCCTGGGCTTGGCGCCAAAGATTCTCTGCAACTAATCTTTGTTGGCACTACCTAAAAATCTATCGTTACTACCGTCTGCTACGTCACGGAGAATCCATGCACTGAGCATGTATTGTGACGGTTTTCATGAAACTGGAAAAAGTACAATTAATTGTCTGTTAACTGTTATTGCACACTTTCCACAACCATGGTATTGCAGACAGGTAAGGGGAGG